CTTTGGGTACCTAATTTTTTATTTTTTCTGATTTGTTTAGGCATTGTACATCTAATTATATTATAGAATTATTAATTTTTATTTTGTTAAATAGATTGATTGGATCGCTTATAATATTGTTATATTATTGAATACCAAAAAATAAAATATAATATATTTGATGATAAAATTCATTCTGATAACTTCATGTATAAAATAGTTTTACATATATAAGACCTTACTTTTTCATATAGATATAAAAAATTGTCTATAACTATATTACTAATGAGTTCAAAAGATTTAGAAATCTATATCTATATTTATATCTATACTACTTATAAATGTCATCATCTGCGAAAAACTTTAAATTTCCTATTTCACCCCTAATTATTACCTTAAAGGCAATTATACCTACAAAATATTAGTTAGATAAACTTTATTTGTATGACTTCAACATTTTTTGCTAGGCAAACTTTTTCACTAATATTCCAAAATTTTTACTAAATGAACTTCATAACTATATATTAGCTAGATAAATTTTATTTATGTCATTTCTAATTTTTTTGCTAGATAAAATTTTTCAGTATGACTTGCCAATATATATATTTTTTTCCATTCAATTTGGTAAACTCAACTAGAATTCTAATACCATGGAAACAATTACTATTTTTTAGATGATAAACACAACCTTTGAAAATTCATTATTCATTGGTATATAATAAAATATTAGAAGAGTAAAGAGTGAAACTATATATTTTTCTTTCTTCATACCTGTTAGACTTCTAAAATATTTTGAACTCCTTTATTAGAATTAGTTTTGTTACCAGACTTCTTGAATTCATGTGGATGTGAAATAGTTTTAAATTAGTAAATTATATTTAGGATTGTTACCGGACTTCTTGAATTCATGTGGAGGTGGAATAATTTTAAATTAGTAGATTATATTTTGGAGTTTTCTTGATCTTGTGCTGTAATGCCAGAAAGTCTTATTAGATTTAAGAAGCTATTGAACGTATATACCAATAGCCTTTTATTTTGTCATCTTCATGCACTTCTTATTTTTAAAAAATATAATCAAAATTTTATGATCTAAATTTTTCACGTGCAATGCATGTGTTCATTATTATTAGTCTTAATAAAAGAGTTCAAAACAAGTTGAAAGTCAAATAAGAGTAAAAACCAAAAATTAGATGAAAGCAGGTAAATGAGTATAATTGTCTTTACTAATAAGAAATCAAAAAAATTTCGCAAATACTTACATGTACATACTTGACAATGAAAAAATTGACTCAAGGTGAAAAGCTTATTTAGTCAAAATCTAACCCATCCTATCAAGAATTTTAATTTAAATAGGATTCCACTTTTGGGTCGTAAGGTTTAAGAATAAAGGATAGAGTTTTTATCAAATTTTGATATATATTCTTTGATCAGTAATACTAAATTTATTAAATTTTGGGATCAAATTTAGAGCTCAAATGACATGACAGTTGACTTGGACCTCTTTGATTGGTCTCATATCATTTGGACCCTAATAAAAACTTCAAATAATCAATTGTCATGTTATTTAGACTCCAAATTTGATTTTAAAATTTGATCAGTGTAGCATTACTCATTCGTTAACATCTACAAGCAGCAAAGAAAGAGAAACATGTCAGAAAACTTGAATTGAATCGTGAAGGGACCTATTAATTAAGGTGGCAAACAATTTTCACATAATAATCAGTTGCATAATGCTAGAGTGATCAAATTTTAAGACCAAATTTGGAGCTCAAATAATATGACAGCTGATTTTTACTTATTTATTTGGTGCTATGTCATTTGAGCTCCAATAAAAACTCCAAATAATATGCAGTCATGTCATTCTTTATTTAGACTCTAAATTTGATCTTAAAATTTGGTCAGCATAGCATTATTGTAATCAATTATTGCAGCTTTCTAGTGTTAGAATGTGCATTAGTGTGCATGTGTTTATATTTTGGTGTCTTTTAGGTGTATTATTAAATGTGTTTGTATTTTTATATTTTTAGTGTATGTGTGTCTTTTTTGTGTATTCATATATGTGTGTTTTGGTGTGTGTTTTTTTTGTGTGGATTATTGTATGTTTATTTGGTATATTAGTATGTCTTTATTAGAGATAAAGATTGACCTCAACATAAACTCTGTCCATATTGTACTCATCCTTATATATTTACCACCTATCTTTATTGGTTGTATCATATATGAGATACATTATTTATAGGTGGTAAATAGATAATGATGAGTACAATATGTATTGGACTCTATCATCACTTGGTATACAGTCTCCTCATGATAGAGTTTGTGTAGAACTCGATCCTTATTTCTAATAATGTTTATATTAAAAGTTTTAATTATTTTATTAGTTGATGAGTTTCATCTAATCCATTATAACTTGTATATTAAGCTGGTCGAAAATGGATTGAACTTGTTTTGCACTCAACCCATTTTAAACTAACCTATGACCAACATAATCCACCGATGTACCACCTCTAATTATATCTGAAATCTGTTTTTTTTTGTTTTTTGTAAAAAAATGTTATATCTGAATACTATGAGTTTGGGAAGGCTGTTGGTTGGGGATTTGGTGGCCTGTGTGGGTTGTATTGCGGAAGTTACCTGGTTATTGTGTGCTACAACCCAGTTTTTGTAGGCGTATGGTAAGTGGGCAATGGTTGATATGTTTCGTCATATTGGATTCATCGTTTTGTCATGACTCTAACTGTTTGGGATTTAGTTCTAGTGTAAATTCAGGTCTATTTGTCCAATCCCTGAGTTAATAGAATAGTAAGATTTTGACTTTATTTTTTTTTGCTATAAGGTGTTTAGCGTTTATGCCGATTACTCCCTCGATTTTTGAGTTGACTATCATAATTCGAGTTAAATGACATGTTTTCAGAGGAATAAAAATGATTGACCCTTAAAATATATGAAAAAATATCGAATCTAAGACTTACCATCCCTAAGATTTCGATTTTCATTAATAAAGGAATAGAGAATTTTTCCAAATACTAAAATGGAAAAATGTGCTCCTTGATTCATACACACATGTATAATGGGTGATCTGCCCCTTAACTGAATTCGAAGGAAAATGTATTCTATTAGTAGATTTCATTCCTGATTTACTTGCCAAAAAAAAAAAAAAATTATTATATGTGATTTCTGAATTATTCACATATGAGTCATGTTATTGGATCTTAAAAATTGAGTAAATATTGCGTATAACAATGACAACGCATTATTATTATTATTATGTGGAATTATTAATAAAATATAAATCAACAAGTAGGATCAATGAACACCATTATTTCAACATGGCAGAGATAATTATTGGCAGCTAATAAAACAATAGAGACCGTTAAGTTTACTTGGTATTTTATTTTTTGTTAGTGACATCATATCATCAGTATCACATAATATTACCGTTACATCCAAGTTTAGAGCAATGTTATAGGGACTTTATTTAGAGACCTAATGATCTGGTTTCAATGTATCTATTAAAGTAGTTGTGAGTTCTAATATTAAATAGAATCCTCCGTCAATATAATGGTTGGACATCATTAGGTCTTCAAATTAGATTCAAATTGTATTTTCCCTAAGTTTAATATTTTATGGGATCCATAATTTTAGGTCAATAAATTAAGTTTGGTCTCTATTTTCTGTATGGAATGGCATTAGGATTTTTCATGCCAAGATAAGGGTTAGATGATGGAGAAGAAACACCAAATACCATGGGTGATCAACTGCACCTTTCACTGCCTCATTGTTTTCCTCTTTGCAGTGTTGACTACTACTGCTATTTATCAGACAAGAGAGACCAGAATGCGGTTAGGTGTTCCGGCAATGCTTAATGATCATGGCGACTCACTCAGGCGATGCGCCTTGTTTGCCGGAAAGTGGGTTTATGATAATAAATCTTACCCTCTTTACAAAGATCGAAAGTGTTCGTTCATGTTTGATGATTTGGCTTGTGAGAAGTACGGCAGGAAAGACTTGAACTATCAGTATTGGAGGTGGCAACCTCATGACTGTGACCTTCCCAGGTCTCTCTCTCCCTCTCCCTCCCCTCCCCCCCAAACCCACCCACAGAAGAATACACTCATTACACGCATGATACACACACACACACACACACACACACATATAAATAAGATAATCCCTGCATGTGTGTATATATTTGGCAATGTTCTTCTGAGTCTATATATCTTGTGGAACGTTTCATGTTGAAAAGGTTCGATGCCAAAACGTTGCTGGAGAGGTTGAGGGGTAAAAGGCTTGTGTTCGTGGGAGATTCGATAAACAGAAATCAATGGATTTCAATGGTGTGTTTGTTGGAATCATCAATCCCTACGGGGTTCAAATCCAGGCGCCTAAAAGGCAATTTGTACTCTTTTAGAGCCACGGTGAGACTTAGGTAGTGTTGTTTTTCACAAAGCATGCAATGTTTTACTTTAGAATCTTATTGAATATCTTAATCCCGGTGGCAGAAGATTAGTCAAAGTACGTGCAAATTAATCAATCTGAATACTTCTTACTTTTAAACCGAAAAAAAAAAAGAAATCTAATTCAATGCCTAGAATTCTTCATTTATGTGTTTATGATACAGTTCGAACCCTGTTTGATTGTTTTCTTAAAAAATAAAATTTTTTAGATTATAAAATATAAAGAAGTTAAATGAGTTACTTGTAAAAAAAGAAAAATAACTAAACCTTTTTTAATATTAAATTAATAAGTGATTTTTTAATGCGAAAAAAGTACTAAAAACAGAGGAGTTTATTTTTGTGTTATAGTCCCTCAGATTTTGGTAGGTTAGTGGTAAGAATATCATTGTAATGCCAGAACCAAACAGTAAAGGGCATCTACCAGCTTTCTATTTTTTATGTGAAATCTGACATGAATAATTCAATGTACTCATAAACATTACTCTATAACTCCCCGCCTCGGGACGTAAGAGCCTGAGGTATTTTTGTATATTTCATTGAAATGCTTATTTTTTTTGTGATTAAATGAAGGAATACAATGCCACGATTGACTTCTACTGGGCACCATTGCTGGTTGAATCCAACTCGGACGATCCATCGAACCATCATGTACGAGATCGAATTGTTAGAATAGAAGCAATTGAAAAGCATGCCAGGAATTGGGATGATGCAGATATACTTATCTTTAATTCCTACCTTTGGTGGAAAGTCCCAAAGTTAAAAGTTCTGTAAGTACATTACTTCTCTAACTAAAAGAGCAAAATTATCAACTGAGTTAATATTTTCTTTAATACAATTTTACAACTATAATCAGGTTGGGTTCATTTGAAAACTCTGACGGAATTTACGAAGAAGTCGAGTATCTACGTTGCTACAAGATGGCTCTTGAGACATGGTCAGATTGGTTGGAGGACCATGTTAATCATAGCAAGACCCATCTCTTTTGGGTTAGCATGTCACCACATCACAGTCGGTATGAGAATCATTAGTTGCAATTTAAAGTTATCTTAAGTTGATTGGTGAATCTCAACATATATATTAGGTCATGCAATTGTGAAAGAAACATTAAGCATTATTTTAGGAGTAGACTTTCAACTATCTTGATGTACACATTTGATTTTCGTGTCATTTCTTGAAAAAGTATTTTTTGATAAATCTTTTAAGGTGAATCTCGTTTTGCACTACGAAAGATGTTTTGATTTTCAACTTACACTCTAAAACATTAAAAATCTAAAGTTGCATCTTCAATATTATGAATTTGTAGTAATGTGGACCTGACTCAAAGGATAAGGTGTAAGTGCTTTAGGCATGAGGATGTGGTATGTCCATCGTTGCAAATCTTCGTCTTCAATTAAATTGACATCATTTTGTATATCAAAAATAGAGTCTCCTTAATTAGATATTTGCTAACCATATCATGCAGACGTCAACAATCTATGAATTTACACATAAGCTCATATTCGAAGTGTTTGTAACTCACGTGCTTCAATTTATGATAGAAAACTGAACGGGAGTTTGAGCATGGTCTACATTGCTACTAATTTATAACATGAAGTGTGAATATTGAGATTTTTAATATTTGAAGGTATAAATTGAGAATTAAAGCATATTTCGGGATGCAAAGTGAAATAAGCCCAATTTTTAAAGTATATTTTTTTTTCTTTTCTAAATATTTTTTTTAGCAGTGTTTGGTTTGGTCTGTACTTTCACTTGTCATTTGTACCATGTTTGGCTTTGATCTCTTTCTTCAAATTGGATCGCATGCACTGTATTATACATATACACGTAGATAACTATATCATTATAAGTTATAAATTACTTTATTAAAATATTTTCCAAACAATATTTCTGATTTTCCGACAAAATCATTTTTGTGCTTAAAAAATTATTTTAAAAAAGTAGGGTTAATAGCATTTTTGTTTCTTAAAGTATACATTTTTTGTCAATTTGATCTCTAAAATATTCAATATGTGTCACTTTGGTCTCTAATCAAACAATTTGTCAAATTTTTTTGGCAGAAGTGTCCATGTGTCATTTTTTTAGATGATATCACATCTCCAACACGTAAATATTTCGTCAAAAACTTAACGAGTCTGTCTATGTAAAGACTAAAATGACACGAATTGAATATTTTAGAAACTAAATTGATATAATAAGAATTAAATTGACAAAAAATATATACTTTAAAGAATAAAAAAATATTACCCAACCTACATGAGTGAAGTCGAAAGTATTATCGTAACAAATGCTATGTCTATATATATACTGCAGGTCCGAAGACTGGGGCACTCCCAACAATCAGAAGTGCATCAATGAAACACAACCGATTTCAACACAGAGGTTTAGAGGAAGTGGATCAGATCCACAAATGATGCATATAGTAGAGTCCGCCATTAGAAAATTGAAAACCAAAGGTGTGAAGGTACAAATGCTCAACATAACACAGTTATCAGATTATCGAAAAGATGCGCATCCATCTATCTACAAGAAGCTGTGGAGGCCTCTGACCAAAGAGCAATTGTCCAATCCTCTAAACTACGCAGATTGTACACATTGGTGCCTTCCTGGAGTGCCTGACGTCTGGAATGAACTCCTCTATGCCTACATTGTTCATCATTTATGAGAAGTTTCAAGGTTTATCAGGCTTGAACTATTTGTAGATCTGCTTACTCAAAGTTACAACGCAAGCATTTAGTAGATGCGAAAAACTGTATATGCTTTGCATCATAAGGAGCACAAACACACACATATACACGAGTTTGGCTAGGATTCGTCGGAGAAAGTGAGTTAGGAAATGACCCTTCTATTTCTTCTTCAGAGTTTGAATGGTCGTATTTAATTGTGAGACATTTGGATTTATTGGGTAATTATAGAGTTTTTTGTTGACGGATTTGATGAATTTTATGTTAATTTTGATGTTAACGAATCAGATGAATTTTTGGGTATATTTTACCCTATTGACAAATTAGCACCTATGATAAACCCATGTTCAAATCTCCTTTCCTATTGTATGTATGTCCAAGAAATACAATTTCAAATCTAATTCAGACACATCATGTTATTTCCATGTCCACGGCAAGTATGCTTAATGTTTGATTACTAAATCTTCCCTCTGACTTATTGAAAAGCGAGGGAGGGTTTGACTCTCCTTCAATTTCACTAGAATTAGATGATCTTTCAATTTCTTTTAAATAACTAAGAATTTTATGTAATAGCATATCAGTAAATTCAAAATGTGTCTTGAATGTTTGATATTCATAACCAATAGAATTTTTTGCACCGTTAATTTCTAAACAGCATTAGCAGATAACGGTATTGAAGATGAAAACGTTTGCACGGGTGGTTGGAGCAAAATAGATGAAATGACCATACAAGCAAAAACAAAGTTAGAAAGGGCCAGAATTGTATTTGGTGATTCCTCTCTGACAATCAAGTCAGTCAAGTGAACGAGAGGCAAAGCAAAATCTATAGTGTGACCAGATTGCATACCTTTGGCATTAGGCTAAGGATGGTATTTACAGCCAAGGGTGTATGACTTGCGCTTAGAACAAGGCCACCAAGCAAGCTGGATGCATGTTCTAGCAGTATGTCAGAGGGAGAGCTCCCCTGACTCGTTCATACATGGAGACAGCAGAGGGCCAAACCCTGGTAACAGCCGGTCGACCACCTTCTAGCCACACCATTACAATATCTTGAGCCGGACACTTACACTTCCCTTGGAAACATAATTCGAGCAGTTACTACTCATTAATGCTCGGCGCCGAATATTAGCCTAACATTCTTCACCGAGTGAACTTGATTGACTGATCTCGTCATATCTCCTTTGATGCATGATTGAGTCTGATCATTAAATGAATATCTTTCTTGAGGTACCATATGATTAATTATATTATTCAAAATTGATACTTTTATGCGTAATTGACCCCGATCATTAAATGGATAACTTCCTCGAGGTACTATATGATTAGTCCAATTATCCAAAATTGTTACTTTTATACATATTCTTCTAAATTCGTCTTTTTTCATAAAGGTATGCAACCGTTATTTTTTAGGACATTCATTTTTCCATGTTTTTTAAGTCATGTCAAATTACGTCATTGGGTTCAATTGTTGTATGCCATCAATGCTTGGCCCCGACCATTTAAATCGTCAGAAGATTTGACTTGTTCTCGTTGGGCCAAGACCCTTCGGTATTCGCCTTCCTTACCTTCTTTATTCCATGTGTCCACTTCCCACTAGTCCATTTGACCACATCCCATCATCTTTTATGTGCACAAATCCTAACTATTCGAAAGAGAATTGGAGAATTCTCCAATTGTTATGAAATTCGAGGAAAGCCTAACCCAGCAGAGGATACTCCAAGCCAGGCAGAAAATTTGGATTACTGCAAAGCACCCAATTCCTCAAGTAATTCTAGAAAACCAACTTCCGTTTGTATAACAACGTCAAACACTGAAGAATATCTACTTTTGCACAAATAAAGAGATAGTTATAACCGTAAATGTTAGCAAATTCAATAAAAATTCTATATGAACCCCAAGAATTGGTCAATCAGTTGCGGAAAAAGGCTCAGTTACAGAGACAACTTCCTCTATCGTTGTTTTGCTAGTCAAGGGTTCAACCATTGGTTTCTTTCTGATTGATTCTAAGTACATCAAGCTCATTAATAGTGCCATAACTTGTTATTGCTGGTTTTCATCTTATAATATTTATGTGCGTTTTTGGAGATGTAAAACATGCTAGCTTTTTTCTACGCATTCAAAGTACAATGGTCCCAGACGGGCAAAACAATGTTAACAGTGATTTGTGGTGAGATGAAAGATCACATGCATTATAGAGAGAGAAAACGAATTGATATTCAAATTTCATAAGAATTCTGAATGGCTGCATTCAAATCATGCATGTAGGTCTCGGAACATGTATTAGGAACATATTCAAGTAAATGGACACAAACCATTGATGAGCCTGTGTCTTTTTGAGTAAATATTGGTTGTAACGGTTACACCACGTCAGCATTATCACATGGTGTAACCGCCTACTCAAAAATAAACAAGTGGGTAAAATGAAGCCCACTTATCCACTTGTGGGGTTTATTATTGGGCGATTACACCACCTAACAATACTGACGTGGTGTAACCGTTACACGCAATATTTATTAGTGTATCTTGATATCATCCACTCCAACAGTTGTGTTGGTTCAAATTTGAATCAGTCTCTCTCTCTTTTTCTCTCCTCTCATGGACAGGAAAATAACCATGACACATATCTGATTGTTTTCATAATCTTAATTACGTAGAGTAATGAAGCAAATCAATTATCCAACATACTTGACATAAATGACACTGTTATCACTTATCAGTCACAACACCATGCTAATCCTCTCTTTAAGGAAAAGAACAAGATTAACAATTCTCCTTTGGGGACTTGGGACAACAAGGTACAACAAATCAGGATTTGGAAATCCCAACCGCTCCAATATAATACCTAAAACTATTTGGTCACTTGAAGAGCTCAGGTCTCACCAAGAAAGAGGTATTGTAGAAATGAAGTAAACTACTTCAATCTAAAGAGTACCAATGAAGCAAATAGCTCCAGTCTATGGACCCCAAGAAAGGGAAAAGAAATGTTTATGAAGATTCTGCTCAAGTTATCCAAAAAAACGCAGCTTGCCCGGTCCACTAATCCAATATGAGAACCAAAATTGACATCTAGCCAGCCCTATGGTGCGTCGGTTTCTCTCTCTCTCTCTTTGGATTTTGAATCATGTAAAAGAGACAATGTTAAACCACTTGAGGACTGTGATAATCCACCAATTACACCAGTCCGACTGGTTTTCACGTTTAGTTCTAAGAAACCACAATTGATAAAGTTTGAGGTCCCAGGAGTTCAGAATATTGGAATACTTTCGTTGTATCAGACTTTACCTGCTATTTGGTGAGAAAGGGACATTCGAGAGTAACATAAGCAATTTGCCAACCTAGACATTGACTAGCTATTAGATTATTCGAGTATTATAGTGGGAATATGTGGTACAAATGATAAGGAGAATCTCAGATTTAACCAATATTAACTGTATTTTAATCACATTACAATAGTTATGCTTCAAGAAACCTAACTACCGGTGATAATAATGCAGCCCAACTGTTCTTGATTCATCAATAGAGCAGGGATCACACCAAGACACAGGAAGGGTGAATGGGGAAACTAAACGAAATGGTACTTCTCCAATCATGTGGAGTTGGATCTGTATATCAATCCCTCATAGCATTTCTGTTCACATTTGTTGTTGTAGCTGTTTATCTAATAGGAGACAACAGATGGCTGCAAGAACATCAGACTATGATTTCCAACTCGTCACACTGCGACTTGTTTTCTGGAAAATGGGTATATGATAACAAGTCTTACCCTCTATACAAGGAGCGAGATTGCAAGTTCATGTGGGATACATTTGCTTGTGAGAAGTTTGGAAGAACGGACTTGAACTATCAGAATTGGAGATGGCAGCCTCACCAGTGTGACCTCCCAATGTCTCTCTCTCTTTCGCACAACACACTCACACTTTAATATGTTTCACAAGGTTTGTATTTTAAATTTTTTTTTGAATCTTTCTGAAATGTCTTGCTGACAAGGTTCAACGCCACAAAATTGCTGGAGAGGCTCAGGGATAAGAGGCTTGTGTTTGTTGGAGATTCATTGAACAGGGGCCAATGGGTTTCAATGGTCTGCATGATCGAGTCATCAATTCCCCCAACACTCAAATCCAGGCACATCAATGGCTCCTTAATGTCATTCAAGGCCACTGTAATTCCAGATTTTTGTAGATTTCTGATCACACATAATGTCATACATGCATAAAGGCAGCCTAATGCTGTAATTTTTGGGCAGGTCTATTACATGTACATGTTCTTGAGCTCAAGTTTCATATCCTAAGTTTGGTAATTTTTTACCCTTAAACCATATAGCTACTTCAATTTGAGGATTACACCAAAAGTTATAGAATTAGAGCCATTACTGTGGTTGTCACCACTCAAAAAAACATTTCAACTATTAGCTGATTGATGCTCGGAGAAGAAACCTGCCCTTCACATGCATTGTAGCTGACTGTCTTGATTGTATTAGGTTTTAGTTTAAGCAGAGGGGTTGTCAAGATTTCCCCAAGAATCAGGCTAACAAGCTTGAGCTGCTCAAGATGCCCCAAGCATCTCTATATGTTCGTGCTTTCTGTCACTCTACATTTTGTTCCATGCCATGGCTTTAACTCTCACTGCAGTGGCTAATTATCAGTTAATATTCTATTGAAGGAATACAATGCCTCGATTGATTTCTATTGGGCACCGATGTTGGTGGAGTCCAATTCTGATAATGCGGCTAGCCATCGATTACCAGAACGAACTGTTAGAGTCCAGGCAATTGAAAAGCATGCGAGGCACTGGACTAATGCAGATATTCTCGTCTTTGATTCATATGTTTGGTGGAGAAGGCCCAAGTTGAAAGTTCTGTAAGTAAATTCCTAGAATTAAATCAGAAGCATCTTGACTGAATTAGATTCTCAATTAGGAGCAGTCATATAGTTTTTAATCTGAACGCTGCTTCTAAAATGACGATGATCAGGTGGGGATCATTTGAAAACCCTGATGATGGAATCTATAAAGATGTAGACATGGTTCGAAGTTATGAGATGGCTCTGAAAACATGGTCAGATTGGTTGGATATCCATGTTGACCGAAACAAGACTGAATTGTTTTTCATGAGCATGTCCCCAACTCATCTATGGTATGTGTTAACAGTATACAATATGCATATTATGTTCTCTTACTGTTTAAACTTTGAAATGAGTTGATGGTATAACAATTTAGTATCAAAGCATTCTTGCTTAGCTCAAATTTAGCCCGTGTGTGAGAGGACGTGTTGAAGTATGTAAATATTTATGTTACAAACTGTCTAATAGCTTAAACTTTTAGATCAGTTGATGGTTTAGCAGTATGCTAACTAATGCAGGGGCGAAGAATGGGGCACGGAGAAAGGTCAAAGTTGCTTCAATGAAACTGATCTAATCTCAAAAGAGGGATATTGGGGAAGCGGATCTGATTTGAGAATGATGAAAAAAGTAGTGGATTCAATTAGTGAATTGGAAACAAGAGGTTTGAAGGTCCAGTTGCTTAATGTAACGCAATTATCAGAGTACCGAAAAGAAGCTCATCCATCGATCTACAGAAGGCAATGGGTGCCTTTAACTGAAAAGCAACTAGCCAACCCCAGGAGTTATTCAGATTGTACACATTGGTGCCTTCCTGGAGTGCCCGACGTTTGGAATGAGATCCTCTATGCCTACATTTTTGGTTTACAATAAACCCAAAACTAGTTCTGTTCTTTATGATTCATGTAAGCATGTGCAGTTTTTTTTTTCACAAGAAGGAATCAAAAGGCCGCAAATTTTCTCATAGACAAACAAAATAATGTTGTTCACTAATTGACCTTATAACCCTTGCAACTCCTGGAACAAGTATGCTCTAACTTCAGGTTAAACCGATACCACTATGACACCAGTCCTCACGACAATCGACATTGGGTGAAGTAGGCACAAAACTAGCACATGTACTAATCCGCGATGTGTAATTATATCGTTGTGGGACAAGTTTTAATAATCACGGTAAACACAATGGCAATAATAAGGCTTCCTTTGGACTATTTAACTTTTCCTCATGACAAATCATATATGATTTGTTCACATTGTGTTTGGAAAAGGTTTCCATCCCAACAAACTTGCTAGGGCTCTCTAGTGAGGCAACCAATTATAGTCTTCTCCTAGCCCCCCTTTTCACAGGCGTTTGAAAAATTGACAATTTTTTAGGGGAGCAGTTGCGAGTAAGAATTTGACTGCTAACCACCACAACCTAATCTGCAATTTAATATAACTTAGACAGATACAGTACTATCTGCCTGCCAAGGAATAAGGCAGATTTTAAATAGATAATAAATGCATGCCTAAGAAAAGCCTTAAGTTATATCATGTAAGGGAGAAAAGTCTATAAGTTATATCATCTAAGGGAAGTATTGAAGGATAAATACTTATTATATCCTTTTCAATAGCTTAAGGTAGAGGATGTGACGCCATTTTTCCACTGTGATTTCCCTAAGAAAAGTGGACTTTGGATGCAAATGACAGATGAGTCTTACACCAAAGCCATATAAAGGAGCAGACTGACTCCATACACTTCTTCGACTGAATTCAACAGCTCACAGAGTACACCAAGGCATGAACAGAAACTAAGAATGGTTGCAAACCAAATAGTTCCCCGAACACTCAGAATTAGATGTAGTCTTCATTCTGTTGCGGCAGTTTTATTCGTGGCCTTGATCATTGCAGCTATCTATCTAACAGGACAGAACAGATGGTTGCGAGAAGATCAGACAACAGAGAAAAAATCATTGTCGCGCTGTGACTTATTCTCAGGCAAGTGGGTATTCGATAACAAGTCTTACCCTCTATACAAGGAGCAACAATGCTCGTTCATGTTGGATGATTTTGCCTGTCAGAAGTTTGGGAGAAATGACTTGAAGTATCAGAACTGGAGGTGGCAACCTCATCACTGTGACATCCCAAGGTCCCCTCTCTCTCTCTCTCTCTCTCTCTCTAGGATAAGAAAGCCAAGTGATGTGGAATGGTTTCATGTTTAACAGGTTCAATGCCACAGCATTGCTGGAGAGGCTAAGGGGTAAGAGGCTTGTGTTCGTTGGCGATTCATTGAATAGGGACCAATGGGTTTCAATGGTCTGCTTGGTTGAGTCGTCTATCCCTCCATCCCTCAAATCCATCCACTTCGTTGGCTCTTTGATCAACTTCAAGGCCATGGTGAGTCCCAATTACCATTGATCTGATAGAAATTGTTCTTTTCATTTCTCATATCTGTATCGTTGCAAAACCAGTTACCCTCTGTTCTTCATCAACTCATCATTGAAATGTAGGATTACAATGTGTCTATCGATTTCTATTGGGCTCCATTGCTGGTAGAATCAAACTCTGATGATCCGGTGAACCACCGCTTACCCGATCGGATTGTTAGAGTCAATGCAATTGAAAAGCATGCTAGGCATTGGACTGACTCAGATATCCTCATCTTCAATTCCTATCTTTGGTGGCTTAGGCCCAAAATGAAGGTTCTGTAAGTACATCCCGAGAACCCAGTCTCTCTCTCCCATCAATTGATGAAATTATAGAAGCTTCTCACCAAGACAACAAATCATATAGATCAGGAGGGCATCTAGGGCGGTAGCAGTATCGAAAATTATAATTTTTTAAGGTAAAGATATAATTTTTTTGTGGCGTAAATTATAACTTGACAGGCATGATCGATTACATAATGTTGAGATCGACATGATCAATTATGACTGTTTACGATCGTTCATAACCTCTCTTGAGTAATTATACTTTTTTATTTTAAAATTATAACTTTATCATATAAAATAGTAATCAACGATATTGATACCAAATTTTCTTTTTTTTTTGAGTATCGTAAAATTTCCCAATATACCCGTAATTAATTGATAGTTACTGACATTGATCAGGTGGGGATCATTTGAAAGCCCTGATGGGATTTACAAAGAAATAGATATGCTCCGGAGTTATGAGATGGCTCTAAAGACTTGGTCAGATTGGTTGGAGATCCATGTTAACCGTTCCAGGGCTCGATTATTTTTCATTAGCATGTCGCCCACTCACCTAAGGTAACCTTAGCTTAATTTTGACACATATTCTCCATTTTCTATATGCTGAATTTGTGTCGTTAGTACCATGATCATCATTAATCTTAGTGCTGGTAATCTAATTCATTCTATTAACTCATTGAACTTATTCATAAATAAATGGGTTGGGTACGTATATTAATTAATACGAGTTCTAAATGAGTTGGATAATATGATTTATTTTAATATTAATTAAATAGATTCTAAATGGGTTGAATAATATGATTTATTTTAATTAAATGAGTTAAGATAGATTATAAATGAGTACCTATTTTGTTGAGTATTTATCTTTTTTTTAAATAATAAAAATAAGAAAATTAAATAAATATACTAATACACCAAAAAACTATACACACTTATACACCAAAAAGTGTACACACTATTACACCAAAATAGAAGCATTTGTGTTAGTATATGTGTGTATTTTTTGTGTAATAATGTGTGTTTTGATGTATTAGTGTATTTATTTTATTGTATTAGTTGTGCTCATATTGAGTATTTTAATTATTTTATGGGTTAATAAGTTTAACCCAACTCATTATAACTCGTTCATTAAAACGATTAAAAATATATTAAATTTATTTTACACCCAACCCATTTTGAACCAACTCAACCCGTTCATTTGCTATCTCTAATCATCATTGTCATGGTCGAAACGTTTTTTTGGGGTCATGTACTTTTTGAAGGGGCAACGAGTGGGGCAAGGCTACGGGTGAAAATTGCTATAATGAAACAGAACCCATTTTGAGAGAGGGATACAGGGGAAGTGGATCAACACCCAGAATGATGGAAATAACAGAGGCGGCCATCCATGAATTGAAAAGCAGAGGTTTAACGGTACAAATCCTCAACATAACTCAACTCTCGGAGTACAGAAAAGATGGTCACCCATCAATTTTTAGAAGGCAATGGGTGCCCCTAACTGAAGAGCAATTAGCGAACCCAACAAGTTATGCAGATTGTGCACATTGGTGCCTTCCTGGAGTTCCTGATGCTTGGAATGAGCTCTTGTATGCCTACATTTTCCGTTATTGATAGATCAAAGTTCAAGTATTATGAAGATTTGTATTAATGTTTGGTGAAAATTATAGAAAATATTAACATAGTGTTTGGACTTAAAATAAATCAATCTTATGAATATTCTATGTATTGACATTTGACAATATAGATGCACTAAAAAAATGTCACGTGACAAAAAATAGAGAAAAGGGGGAGATTTAATTAGATGTTACTATTCAATAATCGTCGATAGAAACAAAACTGTCGAATACAATTGACTCCAAGTTAGGGAAGCATGCAAGGAAAATGGCATTATTCCAAGTGAAACTAGCTCCCCTCAGATACATTGCCCCCCTTTTCTTAAGTAAATATTGAGTGTAACAGTAATATAATGTTAACAGTATTAATGTAGTGTAATCATTTAATAAAAAAAACTAGAAAATAGATAAAAATGGGTCCATTTTCTATCAAGGGGTTGCTATGAATTACACAGTTGGGTGATTATGAATTTTTGTGGAGTTCACTTACAGACTTGTTTATTTATTAATGGACGGTTACACCGCATGATACTTTTTTACTGATATGGTGTAACGATTACACCTAATATTTTTTCTGACCAAGTAGTAAAGATGGTAGCACAGATACAAAATCTAAAAAAGTGGAAATTTGGAGCAGACACTTTGTGGAAAGTAACGAATTAATTAGAATTGTATAATAATTGTTAAAAATCAAATCCAGATATAGTGAAATAAAAACTCTGGGAGTGATAATGTGAGATGCAATAAGATCCTCATACTTGGGTGATTCTTTCATCAATACCCACCAAATCATCAAGTTTGGGAAATGATCTTCCCAAGTGTAGATGACTTGCGACACCTTTAACAAAAACATTCTAATTTTTCATAATACAACTATAGAGTTGTAATTGGGGAGAAATTATACTAAGAAATGGTTGCATAATTAATAAATCAAATGACTAATGTTATGTTTGGTATGGTTAATGATAAAAATGGAAAATGGAAAAATGAAAAATAGAAGTGACATATTTTTTCTATGCTTGAAGAGAGGAATTATTCCTTCTCTCTTTTGTGTTTGGTAAAAACGATATAAAATACAAAATATTATAAATGTGTGTGTTGTATCTATATAATAGTACTAATGTGTACATAATATATGTAGTAGATAAATAAGATATATGAATATATTAAAGGATATAAAAGTAAATAATATATATCTTAACACACATAATTATTTTTTTTCATTTTTTCTCTCAATTTTGAAATGATAAATTTTGGTAAATTAGAAAAAATGTTAATCCATCAACTTTTTTATCATTCTTATTTTCTTCACTTATCAAACATGATATTTTATCTATTTTTTCAACATTTCATTCATCTAATTTTTTCTTCATACCAAACAAACCAAAAAAGAATGGGCACAGGACATAAAATGAGACATGAGATCGAATCCTACGGATCAGGTCTCATATTATTTTTTGGAAAATCAATTTATTTTTTCTCAATAATTCTCATCCATTCTTATGGGGCAATTTGGTAATGAAGAAAATAGGGTGGATGGAAAGTAGAGGATCAAAAATAAAATGAAAAGATTGGTTTTCCATGTGTTTGGTACAAATGAAAAATAAGGGGGAGAGGAAAGTGAAAGGGAAAAACTATATGACTTCTGCCCACCAAATTTTTTTTTCAAATTTTGAGCGAAAAATTCAATGAAAAGAAAGATTTTATGGTTTTACCCTTATATGTACTTACTATAAGGGTATGTTTTTTTTAAGGAGAATGATGAATGAGATTAGAGATTTATTTTCCGTCATCTCCAACGTTATGAGTATGGAAGGTTTAATTTAATGTTTTTTTTAAATTTTTTACCATGTTTGGCTTATGACTTACAATGCATGTGGGTCCACAAAAAAATAATAATTGTATTTGTTAATTGACTTAAATATCCCTCTGTGTTTTAGATTATTAGATACTTGAAAGACCAATATTATAATTTATTTTTCTTATGGTCCCAACAATAAAAGTAAAGATTTTTTTTTTTATATAAATTGACTTTAATGCCTTTATCTTGAATTTGAACATTAGGTATTAGAAGAGTTAATTTAATAATCTAGTATCATTGTTAGTTTTCTACTTTATTTTAATACCACCTCCCACGTGATATTAGATATACCCATATAGATGAGGTTTGGCGGCACTATTTATACCGAGTCAATATTAAGATTCAAAAATTAGTATTTTATTAAAAATAGTTAACAAACAAAGTATATGCGAGACTTATATACTAATAAACATTATCCCCACCCCCTGTATTTCTATCCCCACTTATCCTTCCATCAAACACACCCTAAGGGACTAATTGGTAAGGGGGTATAGGGGATTTGGTAAAATGGGTTTGGGGGAAATAGTTTAAAAGACTTTCAAATCTTATGTTTGGATTGAAAATTAAATCTTGAGTTTTTAAACTCGGCTTCTAGCTGACCCAATAATTAAATCCATTGATCATGAGTTTCACCAAACTAGTGAGGGGGTGAGTTTGGGAAGATGAGTTAAGGGATTAAAGATACAAAAGATAATTGTATCCCTTAACATGGGTATGAATTGAGTTGATCAAGGATGAAATACTCATTTATAAGACAAATAGTTATTAATAATAATGATATATTCATGTGTTTTATATGTATACTAACGATACCCCGTGACTGAAGTCACTAAATATTAAATTATGACACTATGTGTGTGTACAGCTGGAGTGTATATGTAATGTGTGTGTGTGTGTGTGTGTGTGTAGTGAGTGTGTAGTGGAGTATGTGTAACTATGTGCTATGGAATACTTGTGTTGAATTTGTGAAATTTGGGAGGGAAAGTGTGTGAAATTTGGGGAAAAAAATATACCCCCATAAATTCAAACACCTAGCTATCTTATTATATAGATGTATTACATACAAAACATAGGTATGGACCGAATTGAATATTGAATTCCATCTTTATAAAAAATGATTTGAGTTTGAAAAAATCAATTCAAATTCCTTCTTAATATTTATTCAAATAAGCCCTAATAAGACCATTAAACTCAAAGCGAAGGATTCAAATTAAATATTTTTTTAATCAGCAATAATGCACCGACTTGTGGTTTTTAACAAGCACGGAAGCGCCGATACCAGAAAAAAAAAAAAAGATTGGTTCAAAGCTTAATAATTTTTCTTTAATACCTTCGAAAAAAGAAATTATCTTCCCATTTTTTTCATCTACAGTGTCAAACAAAAAATGTATTTCCTCTTTTCTTTTATTTTTTCATTCCTCCTCTCAAACAGATCATTAGTCAGATTGGTCCACCAAATCACGTAAAAGCAGCCCATTAGCAGGTAGATCATGTTTCGTAAGGCGCGCTGCACGATATCAATGTAATTCCACATAAAGTAATTCACTCGGATATTACACCAGTCGCTGTTGGCTGTACAAAATCCTTGCACTAATCGTGACATGCTTAATTTAGAGCAAGTAAAACATACATTCCTCTCTCTCTCTCTCTCTCTATGTCTCTCTCTAGAATGATGCAGAGATGGCACAAGAAGAGAACACAGGTCCCTCTCATAGCACTGATCATCTTTATCTTCATACTCTCTACTATCCTCTGCAACGAACGTAGCATTCAGAAAATACATCAAGACCAAGGTCACAATGATGATGGTCACCATCAACATATCATCAAGCAAATCCCTTTGTACAAGCTTTCTCCCCCACAGAATAACACCCTCCCAAAAAGACCTCCAGGTTAGTCTTTTTATGCCCAAGATTGTCAAAATCTATTTTTTTTTCCAATATTTATACACTGTAGTCTACTAGGGTTTGTTTACTGGTCTAACCGTCTAAGGATGTACTTTGTCTATTTTTTTGAAATTTCGTAATTAAATTTTTTTACCTTCATGCTCCTTGTCATATGTGCATATATGTTTTTCTGGGTCTGTTGATGTGTTGTCTCCATTTCTTGTAATTTGAATATATGGGGAGACCTTTAATTTCATGGCTGTTATCTTACAAACAATATATGTATGTGTCTATGAATATGTTGTTTTCATTTTCTTGTTATTTTAGTTAATTCCCACCCTTAATTTTATGTTTCTCTTTGATTTGATCTGATTATATATCTGGGAATTTTTTGGGGGAAATTGTAGTGGTTTTGGATAGGTTTAGTACATGCCGGTCCACTGTAGACTACAGTGGAAGGAGAGCTGAACAGGTTGTCCAAATGCCGGAGTCCAACTACTGGAGAGTAAGTCTGGAGTCGTGTGACTTGTTTTATGGCAAATGGGTGTTGGATAATACTTCGCATCCACTCTATAATGAGTCGGATTGCCCATACATGTCAGACCAATTGGCTTGTCACAAGCATGGAAGGCCTGATTTGGGATACCAGTTCTGGAGGTGGCAACCCAACAATTGCAATTTGAAGAGGTACTCTCTGTTTCTGAGCTGCAGAGTAATGAAGTCACGTGGTGTGTGTTTTTGGTTAATTATACTTGTTTTTTGGCATATGGACCTACTAGTTTTGTCAACAAAGAATGGTCCATTATTTGAAAAAACTGTGAGTTTCTGCTAGTTGGCTTTCTTGACTTGTTTTTGTTGATTTGTAGATGGAATGTGACTGGAATGTGGGAGAAGTTGAGAGGGAAAAGACTAATGTTTGTAGGAGATTCACTGAATAGAGGACAATGGATATCAATGGTGTGCCTTTTACAGTCTGCAGTTCGAGCAGATAAGAGGTCCGTGTCTCCAAATGCTCCTCTTACCATCTTTAGATCAGAGGTACAATTCCATCCTAGTTGCAATTTGGAAATGTGAGCTTTTATTAAAATATTGAAGTGGTCTTGAAATTTATGGGTTTGTGTCTTCAATATTTTATTTGGTTCATTGGATATAATGGGAAATTTTTAACTTTTACTTCTGATTAAAATAGATGTTTTTATCGTGTATGTAGGAATACAACGCCACGGTGGAGTTTCTATGGGCGCCGCTTCTTGTTGAATCTAACTCTGATGACCCAGTCAATCATAGACTGGATGAACGAATCATGCGTCCAGATTCAGTTCTAAAGCATGCATCTCAGTGGCAGCATGCTGATATACTGGTTTTCAACTCATACTTGTGGTGGAGACAGGGCCCTGTTAAGCTGTTGTGAGATTCAATCCAGGTTTCATTTAGAATTTGCAAGGGAATTAATTATTGCCTCTCGCCATGCATTTAACCCTCTCAATTTGCAGATGGAGTACTGAAGAAAATGGGGTTTGTGAAGAAATAGATGGGCGGGGAGGTATGGAGTTGGCCATGGATGCCTGGGCAAATTGGGTGGCTTCTGAAGTCGACCCCCTCAAGAAGCGGGTCTTTTTAGTGACCATGTCCCCTACACATTTCTCGTGAGTGATGAGCCTCTTGTCTCAACTTTCTTGTTATACGATCATTGTTAATATATTATATCTTTCATCATTAACTTTGGAGTAATTTAATAATGACCCTTTCTCTTTCACAGTTATAAATAAATCTCTTATACATCTAGCAGTTACCCTTTGTAGTTATTTGATAACTCTGAAAGGAGACAAAGATTGGCACGGACAATTGCAATGCTCATCAATTGTTTGCCAAGTAAATTTCCACGTTTAACAATTTGTGCTCTAAAACCAGGGTTCTTAATTGTAGATTTCTCCATGGTGTTTTTTAAGTCTAAGGGCCACAGCTATAACGCTTTAACTGGTTTGTAATTTTAATTTCACAGAAACATTCAATATTTTTTATGCTTTAATTGGTGGTTATATATAGGTTTTCTGTACAGATTTGTGTGTCAGATGAAGAGTATATTTTTCCATGGCATCGCATATCGGACATGAAAGGAATTTATTTCGTTTAAGATGTAACATAGTTTCCTATTTTAAATAAATGCACACTGAGTTGAGTTTCCAACCCAAGCATTAGTAATTCAAGGCTTTGTTTCAATTGTCTTGTCTTTTAGCCTAGGGGCAAAAATATCTGCTTGAGCCCTAGGTAGAGCACAGAATGGAACGAAACCCATTCAGAGACTGGCAAATACAGAAGTTTGTAGTGGAGCTTTATTTTTAATTGTAGTCCCAAAACCACCACAATCTCTTACTCAAGTCTCAACGAAAATTAACTGTGGACAATTCCCCTAGCCTAGATAATTGTTTCCACTTCCCAAGGAACTATTCTGGAGGACTACCATAGGTTCCATGCATCTTGTGCCTTTGTAGCCATTTAAGCATCAAACCGCTGGAAACACACGTATGTAACAAGAATTGTAGACTCTCATTTCACATTGCATTTGGTTCTATTGGCTTTCTAAAAGGAACAATATATAATCTTGTTGCTTACTTCAGGAGCAGCGTGGCACAACCCATTATTTGTCATTTATGTCAAGTAAAATCGGAACAGAGCCAAGTTTCTTATTCTTGGCCTACTAGATTCTCTTCTAGCATTTGGAGACCAAGGATGCTGCTTATTTTTATTTCTTTATATTGTTTCATTATCACACACACACACTCTCTCTTTTCTGAACCTACCTCAATTTCTCAATCAGGAGCCAAGAGTGGAAACCGGAGAGTGAAGGGAATTGTTACAATGAGAAAACCCCCATTGATGATGAAGGCTACTGGGGAAGTGGTTCGGACTTGCCTACGATGCAAATGGTGGAGAAGGTTTTGAGAAGGTTGAGTTCGAAGGTTTCTGTTCTCAATATAACTCAGCTCTCCGAGTATCGAAAAGAGGGACACCCTTCCATTTATCGTAAGTTCTGGGAGACACTAAGCCCCCAGCAATTGTTGAACCCAACAAGTTACTCTGATTGTATACATTGGTGTTTACCTGGTGTGCCTGATGTGTGGAATGAGTTGTTATTCCAATTTTTGTAAAGGGCACAGTTTCTTTGAAGTGCATAGTTATTAAAATTTTAGTTCTTGCCTTCTCGGAAACAGCTTCTCTGATAAGGTTGCCTACATTTAACCCTTTTCAGACTCTACAATGGCGGAAGCTTGTACACTGGATACATTCTTTTATTCTCATCAAGCATGTTGGGACTTGATTTTTTTTTTTTTTTTTATATTGAAGCTTAAAATTAACAAAGTTTTAGTCAAATCACAGTGGATCACTTTTCTATGGATGTCCCGAAAATATGAAAAATGATATATAAATCTTGAATTTTGACAGAATACCTTGATTTGGTTCTGTTAATTACAATTTTCTTGGTGCATTCATACTAAAACAACACCTAAAGATCAGTTTAGTACAAAATTAATGTGAATCTAGAAGGGGGGATTAGATATAGATTTAGTCTTTAACATTAGATAGAGGAATGTTATTAAGACTTAAAATTTGACATAGTTTGTCGACCTAATGATGTGCTTTCATTGTAACTGTTGAATTAACATTAAATTCTAATATGTAATGGAGTCTATATCAATCCAATGACTATAGTGAATTAAGTCAACAAATTAAGTCTCAATAGTATTGCTCTTAACATTATTCACAGTGTTGTTATTGGACTAAATTTGAACAACTAAACCAAGACATCTACACTAATAGTGTAAATGGGTATATTTACAAACATTATAAAGTAATATTTAAAAAGAAATTTCAATTGGATAAAGCTTTCACCAATTAAAAAAAAAAAAAAAAAAACTATACTATGATTCATTTATTTAGAAATAAAAAAGATGATATTACTTTGATAATTTAACATAACAGTAAGTGAAGAATTAAAACTATCACAAAGGTTATGTATAGTTCTATTTTGTTTTATCTTCTAGTTTTTAGTTTATTATGGCCAAGAGTATGTGTAGGAGATTAACCATATGAGAATATGCAATTAATTCTATGACCATCTGTAGCAACTATTCTTGATCTTCATACTGAGAGAGTCAACGTGAGATTAATATTATGTTCCCCTCGAGGCTTCTCAATCAGTGAAATACTTCTTGGCTGACGATCACCAAAAATTTGTGAATCAATATCATCATTACACATACAATAGTCTTCATCCAAACAAACTTGGCATGGGAGATCCACATTAATCCGATTTGGCATTTGCAAAGCAGAAGGCTGTCAAATAAATTAATTTTGCAATCAATATTCACAAAAGTATCAATAATTGTCTGTCATATCGTATTTCATTTATGAATTCAACATATTTAATAACACGTTCTTCTACAATGCTATGCTAATATGAAAGCATATACATAAAACACAAGATTCACCTGCATTTAGTGTATTATTATATTTGGAAACTTGAAATCAAATAGCAATTAAAGTTGGTCATTTTCCTATCACATTATTTTGTGTTATAAAATGAAACATTTGCAAAGTATGAGAAAACTATAATGCTAGAGATGGAGAATGTTTGTGCAATACAACAGTTGAATATAAACTTTAACAAACTATAAACAGGAGGAGTTAGGAATTATTTTTCACCTTCCTCGAAACTGTTCCATCTTCTCCGACATGCCACCCCGCTTCATCACACAAAGCTTTTAACAAATCATTAGTATCGGAATGCTTGGGAAGCTGGTAGTTGCCATGAGCCCGAAGTCCCGCAAAGATCTTTTGAGCTACAGCTCGTCGATTACGCTCCCTTTGCTTATTTTTCTGTCGCTCCCTATCAGAAGGATAACGAAGCTTGCTAACTACACCTCCATTTTTGCTGGTTCTATGAACTAACCAAGGTCCTTTGCTATCCTTGATGCACCCTTTAAGAACACACTTCTTTTCTTTTGGCAGAACCTTCTTACCTCTCTCCATCCCCTTCAGTTTGCTTCTCACCATAGTTCCTATTTATAGAGCACAAAATAGAGACAAAAAACATAGAAAGAGAACAAAAGGGCCTACTTTGTATGTCTGCAGCTTTTATGTGGTGTGTTCAGTATGTTGTCTCTAGTTGTCTGAGTTTTATTCTTCTTGCTTCGGCTATTAATGGAAGTTTGCTTAAGGTAAAACAAAGTTTGGAAATTAGAAACACCATAAGCTCTTGGTGTTCAGTTTACACATTAAAACGGACTTAATACGATACGAATCCCAAAATAATACCACCAAATATCGATTATTGCAAGTAACAAATGAGCTGGCTGTGGCTTGGTATTAGACAAGAATAACCCATTTAATTAGTATTGTTGTTACAAACTGCATGACCTTTTTTAATTCAAACATGACCCAAATATGAGATGAACCCAAAAAGGGACATGACTCCAATATGATAGATAAAAAATGGCATGTCACGACTTGATTGATACTCATAATTCCAACCATGAAATTTTTTATGGATACGGCAAAACCCGAACTCTCTTGAGGATTAGTTGCAGTGGTGTGACAAATTTACTCATTCAAATATAATGCAGACTGTGGATGACACTTGATCCCAGTACTACTAGTAGTCTCTGCGACTGCACTAAAGCAGTTGAATCCCAACCTTTGATCAATGACCAGCATTTTATGTAACATTAGCTTAGACATCGGAAAGATTAAAGTTGTTCTGGTTGGGGCAAAAATGGAAGCTCCGGGAACTAAGGTATTCCCATGCATGCAGAGGAAACAAACTTTACCTTTGACAGAGCAGAAGCAGATGATATTCGATGCCCATGAAAAAATGAATACAGGGTACAGTAGACTGTACGGATTCTTTTTTGTTTTGCCATGTCAAACACAGTAATGTGAAAGATTAAAAAAAAAAAAGAGGAAGGAATCAAAAGAAACAGTACTACTCAAGAGGGGTGGGTCTTCATGATAATTTCAAATCCTCTCATGAAACCATCCATTGATGTTAGTGGTTGATTGAAAAATATAAAGATGGATGATGGGCGGTTGCATCAAGACTAAGAAATGTGCGCCTCATGCCTTATGGTGGGGTCGGTCTCATTCAATGATTTCCAAAGAAGCAAAGCATAGAGGATGTTGATAATTATTAACAGTACTACCTGAAGGACTCACGGTGAGTGTGTGGAAGAGTTCTCCTTTAATTTCCCTTTTCTTCTGCTGCTGGTGGTAGTGTGTGTTTTTGTGTTTTGGGGGGGGGGGGGGGGGGGGGGGGGGTGTCTGTGTTAGTTACTCTATAGAAGATTGGTGTATGTTCCAGAAAGCGGAATCTGCTAGAGGAGGTACCTTTATTAATGGGGTGGGACAAACTTGAACCCTTAGTATTTTCTCTATATATTTAGATGTATATAGGCTCAATCTCCTTTCAATTTCTGTAACTTAATTAACAGGATCAATTCATCAATTTTCTTACCTTTGCAATGTGTATAATAGTGAGATAACTGGTATTTGCAATGTGTAATTTGTAGGAAATTTTCAGAATAGAACTTCATAAATTTGATGAATAGAGAGTTAGCCTTTGAGAATTAAAAATTCTCTTTGATATGAAAACAGTAGAATTGAGATTTTCCCACAATGAGTTTTATCTCAAAATCGGTGTTTTCTGGTGTCTTCTAACATTATTTATAAGGAAGGATATATCAGCTAACCGCTCAACTAGTTGTTCCCACTCAGTATAATAACCTCAACTCTCCTAATATTTTATCAAGTCGACCAATATTTTCTCAACTCTCTGCAGTTAAGTAAGATTGCCTAGTCTTTTATTACCTGATGGATTCCTTTAGCCAAGTCACAAATATTCAATTATATTCAATATCCAATTATATCAATAAAATATATTTGTATGCATGCACCATTATAAAATAATATTTAATATATAATAATTTCACAAAAAAAATGCATCAATGATATATGTCATGAATAATGTAATATTTAATCAACGGATTGAGATTTTATATATTTCAAATTTGACTGCAACTTATGACATAATTAATATCGAGAGATTTTAGTCACATTCCAATATAATTAACAAAGCCATTTTTTTCTCAACACTTAATAGACATCAAATTTCCTAGGGCCCACATAAATTTAAGGCTGCATTGAGCAAGGAAATGATCAACAGTAATGCCATGCCGATTAAATCAGATTCTATTCAATTAAAATTCCATAGAAAACAGCCAGCTTGAAAAATATACAACAATTTTGCTATCTATATCTTCGACAAACAAAAACAGGTCATTCGGAAATATTTTGGAAAAATACATTGTTATGTTCTGTTGTTCATTTTGGGTAATTTGAAGAAGGGGAGAGAGTCTCACCCATTGGCGAGGCCTAACATTATGTTGAGTGTTCCCACTCTTTCTATCTTTTTTTTTTTTTAATCTAAAAGTTAAGCCTTATTTTGATGAAAGACTCGCTTATAGGAGGCTTACTTGAATTCATGATTAGTAAGTGTATTAGAGAAAATTCCATTGAATTTTTTAAATATATGACGAATTGAAAGTCGATAAAATTTACTAGGCAATCTCATGACCTTGGTGTAATTATTCTAAAATGCAAGCATGATTGATTAATTATTCAATTATACTTGTGATCTTTATTCCTATTTTTTCCCTTTTAATTTTTGGATGAAACAAGAGTCCCAAATATGACCAAAAGTCAATCTTTTTATCCTTCACTTCGATAAGAGGAAATACAAAAAATCAACACAAAAAAAGGAGGGGAAGAAAAAAGGCAACCTTCTTACTCCTCGTACTACATTAGTAACCCACCCTAAAGTCTCCTCATAGGTCATGTAAAATCCATACCAGCCCGGGGTCCGATAATCCTTCTGTGCTTTTCTTCTTTTTTTTTTTTGGTAACGGGAAAATTCCATGGCCTGTTCTCAATGAGTAGAGATACACTTATATTGTTCAGGCTCGTAACTCTGAGTAGAACTAATGACAAATTTGAGTTTATTTCTTCAATTCATATACCAGTTAAATCAAGACTTGTGTTTCGGTGGAGACTCAAGACCCACACCAGAGACTTGGATACGGTTCGTCCAAGTAATTGAGGTCTTGTTCTACCAAACAGTCATGCTATTGCGCCCAGGAAACTTCGAATCCTTGACCTCCCACTAAGAAGCCAAAGGCTCTGGCCAACTGAACTACCCCAGTTGGATTACTTTTTCTTAGTAGTCCCTACGAATATAATCAAAAATTTATGAAATTTTGAATCCGAAGAAAAACCCCAACCAATAAATATGAAAATCCAATCTTCTATTTTGTTTTCTTAACCAAAGAGATTTGAGAAAGTTAGGATTCCACCCCAAAGTGCTGAGGTATAGACTTTGAGTGAACCATCTTCCTTTCTTTTATTATTTGATACAAGAAAAGGCCTTTTTATAGTAAAGGGAAGAATGGGTTGGGAAAGGGTGTTAGGCTCTCAATATGATGAAATTGGATACTCAGTTTCAAACGAATTTGAAACTGATACAGACGATTAGGATTTTGCAATCATAATTTAATCGAATCATAATTCGCATGGACTAAATCCTTACCACACTTTTAGATAGTGAATTTGTATCTAAACTAGTTTAAAAAAAAAAAAATAATCTTGAGGCCGGGATTTGAGGTATCATACAATTTGGAGTTCATATAGGTTTGATCTCAACACTTGAATGACATCAATGATGTGCCCAAATTTTTCCTAAAGGAACAAAAGCACCACAATCCACTCAAACGCGGCCATGGTCATAAAATGTTTCTCGTGACATTTAGGGGTGTAATTTAGACGGGTCAATTTAAATTCAACACAAAAAAAATTAAAGTTTTGGTTGAGATTTTTAATATCAAAGTTGGGTCTAAGTTGAAAAATATTAATTCGAATTGAATTTGAGCAATACCTCGATTGAGGTCTTGTGTTATCGGATTTAACCTGAAAATTAAATCCGACTCATTCATTTAAAATAAATATATAAATCAATAGTAATATCACTTACGACTAGAGTTTAGTGTGTTGGTTGTGGTGTTTCAAATATTGTAGAATCACTTATTTAACTTTCTGATTTGAACTATGTAAAATAGTAACAAACAAGTATGAAACACAAAAGAGTTACATCAAACAGTTACACGTATATTGTTTGTTTAAACAATATAAATAATAACCCGATTGCAGAACAGAAACTGTTATTGAACTTTAGATAGATCAAGAGTAGTGTTTGACACTATATCCTTAAGACAGATTTTTCCCCTACACACGATGCTTATGGAAACCGAGCATCTACCTCCCAGGATATAATTATCATTACACGAACAAAAATAGCACTCCAATCTGCCCGTCCAACGAACCAATATTGTGTTGTGTACTCTCTCTAAATGTACTGCCTTAATGCTAAAAATGATATGTTCTAATGTCTGTCTTATTGTCTAAAACGGACTGATTGAAAATTATAATTAATGGAAATAAATCTGGGTATTTATAAACACATTGGTGACTTTTTGGACAGTCATCTTACTAAAGGACACAACTCATAATGATAAGACACAACAGCCAGTAGACACCTTGGGTAACTGTTCTCCATGAATAGACACAATTTAATTCTGTCCAACAGGTGGCAACAAACCCGATCCAGTGCAATCCAACGGGTACTGAAATTAAATTTTGGGTTAAGAGATTTTCACGCCATTAATTAAATGAATTTTTTCCCAAAAAGATAAGGTTTAGTCTAAACCACACCCACACCCGGCCCTGTCGGGTCGTGGCCAGGCGCGCGCACGTGTGTGGTTGAACCGAAGGCATGTAGGTGTTCGCTCCGCTCATAAAACTGTGGTTCCCCTTGGGCCCCAATCCCATAGAGCAAACTTGGCCTATACATGCCCATGTTGAATTTCTTCCTCAACTAATGTGAAATTGGTGTCACATTCCACATTACACTTCCTTTATTTTCATGTTTCAAGAGGGTCGCTTTGGAGCCTATTTT